ATACCTAAGTGTTTAGTGCTACGGAGGTTGAGCCAAGTTGCAAGGGGTGGACTTCCCGTGAAGCGCACTAGCGACCTGTTTGCGTGGGGATGGGCAGGTGCAGGTGACAGAGCTAGGTACAGTGAGTTGACTATCTTATCTGCTGAAGCAACTCATAAAGCATGTCATAAACCATTTTTATTCGACAAGTTGAAGGCGGCTCTGAGGGACATAATAGATAATGATTACACTGAGGAGGATGAGCCTGGTGCGGGGGTACAGTTTGTGAACGACGATGCATTTGAGCCTAATCAAGATCATGGTCTTGTTCGTGATCTCGCTAAAGTTAACACCAAAGGCGCACCAAAACAGAATGTTAAAGGCCGCGGTAAGAATGGTCCTGATGTCACTAAAAATGGACGACCTAAAGCTTTTGATGAGAAAAGCAAACGTCAATGTGGACTGTGTGGTCTTACGGGTCATTATAAGTCCACGTGCCCTCAAAATCCTAAGTATGATTTTTTTATGTTATTGTAAATCTTATTGTTCAACCCGAATTTATTTGTTTATTGTGAATTAACACATATCTTACTATTATGTAGGAACTTTGTTTGAATTGTGGAGTATGGAAGATTGCTATGGAAGATTGCTTCACCCTTTCATTGGAGACAGTTATTAATGTTCTACATATGTGATCTTTAATAATTGTTGAAATATGTTACATGAACTTATTTTACTTTGTTGCTACGATATACCGACATAAGTAGTTGTTTTGATGAAAGACTATGTAATGCAACAAGGAGTTTTTACTTTGTTTATTTTCATGTGCTCATTTTGCACAGAACTGTCGTCGCTTATTTTGACAGTGCCGTCGCTGTTGTTTTGACAGTGCTCATTTTTGCACACTAGTGTCGTCGCTGTTTACTGTTATTTTGCTCTTTGCTGTTATTTTTTCCCAGCACTGTACGGTCGCCGTCGCTTAGAACCCCGTCGTTTTATTTTTTTTTAAAAAGACTCACAATAGCGTCGGCGGCACTGTCCCACAGCGGCAGCGTCGGGCGGCTGGCGGCAGTACAAAGTAATCAACTAGTTCGACAGCTCATGTGCCGCCGGGTATATAAGCCGGTCGTCGCGCCCTCCGTCGGGCGAGTTGGGACTAAACATTTCCCGTCGCCCCGCGTGGAACTTGGGCCGTCGTCCCGCCGCCTGCTACTTGGGCCGTCTTCACGTCACGGGCGTATAGTGTTATTTGGCCGACCCACGCGGTCACGCGCGTCGCTGCAGGCACGGCGGCTGTGGGCAGCCAAGTTTTTAGTCCCACCTCGCCCGACGGAGCGCGCGACGACCGGCTTATATACCCGGCGGCGCGCTTGCAGTCGAACGTCTTCGATTAAACTGTTACGCCACCCGTCGTCCGACGCTGCCCTATTGGACAGTGTCGTCGGTCCTGTCTGACGTCAGACTAGTCGGTGCATAGAGACCACGCAGGCCACGCACGCCAAATTTTGTCGCGTTCCGACGCTGTACGGATTTTCCATGATTTTTCGCACCGAAAACCCCTAAAACACTGCCCGCACATGATGCAACGTGCGTTCGTAGTCCGTTTTCGTTCATCTCTGGCGTGCGGGGCCCCACACGCTCTGCCAAAAGTTGGGTGCATTCCGGCAAACCGCACTGGCACTTGCTGTGCAACCCGGTGGTTTCGGTATGGGCGGAGGGGACCCTCGGTCGTACTTCTCTCGGTCGCATCCGCCAAAGTCGATCATTTTTTTACG